CCGCCATCTCCTCACATCCCTTCCCACGAGGAGCAGTCCCGGTCCCCACCAGTGCCACCGGTGCCACCGTGTCCCCGCCGTCCCCGTGCTGCTGTGTCCCCGCTACGTCCCCTTTGGGGGTGCGAAGGCCTGGATGCCGGTGATGGCGCGGCCCAGGATCAGTGCGTGGATGTCGTGGGTACCTGCAGGGATCACCACACCTCAACCCGTGCCCCAGGAACCCCCAGAACCCCCCAGAAGCCCCCCAGGGACCCCCATCCCCCTCCCCGCCATACCCTCGTAGGTGTTGACAGCCTCGAGGTTCATGAGGTGCCGGATGACGTGGAACTCGTCGCAGATGCCGTTGCCCCCCAGCATGTCCCGCGCGTCCCTGGCGATGGCCAGCGCCTTCCCGCACGAGTTCCGCTTCAGCATCGACACCATCTCGGGGGCGGCCCTGCGGGGACACGGATGGGGACACACTGACCCCCTCCMGGACCCCCCGAGCCCCCCGGGGACAGCGTCACCCACTTTCCCTCGTCCTTGAGGCGGCCGAGGCGCAGGCAGGCGTGGAACCCCAGCGCGATCTCCGTCACCATGTCCGCCAGCTTCTTCTGCACCAGCTGGTTCCGGGCCAGCGGTCCCCCAAACTGCTTCCTGCGGGCCAGGGGAGGGGGTGGTGAGATTTGGGGTGGTGAGGGGCGGTGGGACCCCCCCAAAACGCCCCCAGACCCCRTTACCTGTCGAGCACGTACTGCCGCACCGTCTCCAGACAGGCCTCGGCGGCGCCCAGCGCGCCCCAGGCGATGCCGTAACGCGCCTGGGTCAGGCAGCCAAAGGGACCCTGGGGGACAAGGGGGTGTCATTGGGACCCCCCATCCCCTGGGGTGTCATTGGGACCCCCCAATCCCGCCGGGACCCTCCCCAGGACCCCCCGGCTCCCCCTCTTACCGCCAGCCCCTCGGCGTTGGGCAGCAGGTTCTCCTCGGGCACCTCCACGTCATCCATGAGGATCATGCCGGTGCTGGAGGCGCG